TAGCACGAGTGCAAATGTGATTTTATACAACAGTTCAATAAATAAGAATTTAATATTGTTATATTTTAGACACAATATTGTCTATTTTTGCAAAATTTTGCCATTGAAAATATTACAAATTAATAAATGACTCAATAGCTGTTTCCCAATTCAAAGGCTGCGTCCTCCGAAGGGCACATTTGAAGGCCGATTGCTTCACCATGGCGCGACGAAGGCTGTCAATTCGAAGGCTCCTTCAAATGCACCCTTCGTGTCTCGTGAAACAAAGGATACAACAGATGTATCCTTCGTGCCCTACTCTACCCCAGAATTTGTTGCAAGCAAGTGATGTTTATTTGAGAGAAACTGCCAGATTACAATTTTAAATGTATTGTTTTCTACTGACTCGAATGATGTAATTTATGTAATGATTCAAATGTAAAATTAAAGAAAAATGTATATTAAGCAGTTCAAATGTTGACTGATATCATACCAAGATGTGATTTTATATAGTTTATACTCTTTATTATACATAAATAGACTATGGTGAACATATTCAGACAGGTTTTGAACCCTGTTTTGTTCTTCAGCAGTTGAATATAACTTTTAAAATAGTCCAGTACAAACGTTACTGCCGCTCATCAACAGCAGCTGTCACAGTAGCTAGGTGGCAAGAACAGTCCTCCATAAGCTTTGTTTGCTTGTTTGTTTGTTTGTGTTTAACGCCATGACAGCTTCTGTGGTTATTTTCGTGGCGAGAAAAAATTATGGCTAAATTATATCAGATTTTTACAATTTATTTTCGTAAAAACCAGCACAATCTAATAAAACATGCTTCAGGGATAAAGGGTTTTGGCATAGAGAACATGTTGGAGGATCTTCTCCTCCATAGGCTAAACTGTCCCATTTAACAACGCTGGGTCCGACCTTCGCGGCCTTCGAAGGATGCAGCCTTTGAATTGGGACACAACTAATGACTTACTCATTAAGACATCTACTGCCACCAATTGGCAGTTTTAGTTTCTTATTTAGAGTATCATTTCATTAAAGGGGACATAACACACACATTTTCGCCAATCTCATGTTAATCTTGAGTACCTATATAGTAGTATTGCATCCTTCATATCTCAGAAGAGTCTTTAGTTTGATCAGATTTATAAAAGCTTTACGATTCTCTCTGAAAACAGCAGAGTTCCTGGAGGCGTGCCGTGGGCGGAGCTAAAGAGTCCTGGCACTTATGCGCCGACTGCCAACAAAACAGAATTTTGATGCAGTTTTACACACTGCCTGTGATTCCAGCTCATGACCGGGATATTTTATCGCTGGGACCGCTCAGTATCAAACGATCTGCAAATCTAGCGTCAAACTGGGCCTTATTTATAAAACATTCGTCACCGAAATGACGGGAACAAACACACACTTGCGAAACTCCATTGCTGTCCCGGAAAAACAAACTGCATCCACTGTTCACATAACGCGTAAGGCATAATAAGGTTCTCTTTCCCTCACATCCAAAAACACACTTCTTTGGTGACATTCTTCTGGAGCGAGTCCTGTGCAGCGCTTCTGACAACTTATGTAACGCGAATGAAGCACGTTGGTGGGCGAGCGCTCTCTCTCTATTTGCTGTGTGCACGCTCTCTTCCGGGAGAAGTGCCCATACAAGGAATTCCGCTCTTCGTGATGTCATAAAGAGACATGCTCGAAAAAAACTTTCAGAAACTTATTCGAACCCAGAGTGTATTTGGCACAGAATATATTTATATATATATCATAAACACTCAATTTAATCTCAGATAACCATTGAAGGATCAAATGTAACATTTTATTATATAATACAAAATAATTTTACACACTATCCACACTATCTCATCAACAATGTATAGAACAAAGGAATAAGACTGATGCACAGCAATGCGTCTCTCTCCCTTTCCATAAACTGTGCTAGGCTCTCTTCCTTGATCTGATTTATAGGCCTAGTCACCTATGGCATGATGGACCAGCTTGAATTAATATGCATTTGCTTATGGCTTCCTGTGATAAATTAATACTAGGGGAGACAATAGAGGTCACAGGGGAGTCCCTTTTTTTTTAAATGTAATGTGAAAGAACTTATGTTGTTTCAAACCTGCATGACTTTCTTTCTTTTGTGGAACATACAGTAGAATATGTTTAGAAGAAGGTTGGTAACAATGTTTTGGTTACCATTGACATCCATTGTATGAAAAAAAAAAAAACCCTGACATTTCTTATTTCTTTTTATTATTATTTATATTTTTAAATATTTCTTTCTAAAGTAACTTTTTGTTTCTTTGATGCTTTTCTCATTTAACACAATAATGACTTTAAATTTTCCTTTGGCGGTAATTTCTCAGCCAAATTAAAAAATTGAATTGCTTGACATCCTAATATATATA